TGGGAGAAGGGTAATGGGGGGGACCGCAGCTCCCCCTGCAACCCCTTCCCAGCACTGCTGCCGTCACCCACCCTGAATTCAGCCCTCATACGCCAGCCCCGCAGCCCTGAGTGCAGACCCCACATGCTGGAAAGAGCCCGACACAGCCCTGGCCCCAGCCCACAGGGGCAGCCCACCCCCACCACAGAGATCCAGGGCACGCCCCGCCCCGTGCCCTCCCAGTGTGTGCACAGCAGCAGGAGCCACCCTGCCCCCTCCTTGTGCCCCCAGGATGAGCCATGGCTTCGTCCCGCACCCCACCCTGTCCCAGCTGGGCAGCACCTGCCCCAGCCCCAGCCTCACTCCTTCCCTCAGCACAGGGGCCTTGATTTGCCCTCCCATGCCCCTTCCCTCCCCCCTCCCCTTCCACCACCACAGACTTACCACCTGCATTCAGCTGTATTGGAAATCGGAATGGCATCGGTCAATATGCCTCCTTAAAAATCAGCTATCAATATTGGCCCCCAAAATCTCTATCGGTACACCCCTAGAATCTTTTAATGATGTGCCAGACTCTTCCCAGGAATGACCTGGAGCAGGACAGGGCAGGTGCAGGGATTCCGGGGGATCCATCCCGTGGCCCTGCGGTGCAGCCAGGATCGGCCCTGCTCCAGCCCTTGGCTCCAGGTCCCCCCGGCCAGTGCGGAGCTGGAGCCGCTGTGGGGCTGGGAGGTGGCAGACTTGCAGGGCCCGTTGGCATCAGGCAACGACCCTGGGTGCAGAGGGAAGGGGCAGCCGCACAGGCACAGCAGGTTCCAGCCCTGATCCTGATCCTGGGCTGGCTCTGTTCCACTCTCCTGATCCCAGCCAGATTTTTCTGCTGGGGTGGGGGGGGAGAAGGGGTGCACACACCCAGCCCCCAATTTTTTTTCTCCCTCTGCCTATAGCTCCACATCTCTCCCTGCCACCCCTCCCATCCCCACCCCACCTCCACCTGGCCCACATCCACCTTCCTCCACTCCCAGCTCCTGCTCCCTCCCTCCCTGCCTACCGCCTTCCCTTCCTGCTGGCTGGGGAGGTGTCAGCACCGGGCGGTGGGGGGGCACTGCCACCCTTCACCCCCCCCTTCGCCCTCAGGCAGGGAGGTGGGGGGTAACCCCGCTGCTCAGGGAAGGAGGGGAGGGAGGGAGCCACGGACAGACAAACATACAGACAGATACACTAAGCCTTTTATTATGTTAAAATTAATTGGTTTACATTTACATTAAAAGTCCCTATTATGCTAATAGAGAAAATATATATTTTCAAAAACTGCCAATTTGAAAGATACTGGATTCATAATTTTCCCTATATTCCCAACTCTGCAACTGTACAGTGAGGTAATAAGAGCATTACAATGCCCTTGTACATATCAAAGGTATGGTTAAATCTGGGACAACATGTATACTGCTAGTCATCCCTATCTCATAAAGCAAGGGTGGGCAAAATACAACCCGCGGGCTGGATCTGGCTGGTCATGCCATTCTATCTGGGTCCCTCTAAAATTTAGAAATTATTACCTGCTGGGGGCTGCCTTTCAAAACCAACAAGGTGTGACCCAGAGGCAGCAGGAACCAGCAGCGGAAGAAGCAAGGCCCACCCAGCCCTGTCCCACCCGCAACCGGAAGCTTATGTCTAGCAGAGGCTTCTCGCCTAGGGACCATGGGGCTGTTCCACAGCCCTTCTTCCATCTGAGAGAGGAAACTCAGGTAAGAACGGGAAGCGGGATGGGGGTGGAGAGGATTGCCAGTGATCGCCTCACTCTGTGGGGCCTGGGCAAGCCAGGCTGGCTCCATGCCGTTCCGTACAGTCCCAGCCATGCTTCTGGGAACTGCATCCTGCCGGAGCCAGCCCAACCCAGCCAGCACTATGTAGTCCTTGACTTCATGGGCGGAACTACACAGCATGTCATGGAGGCAACCTGGCCGGAGTGGGGAGATGGAAGCAGCACCAGGCGGGCAGGTGGGGGGAGTGGCAGTTGCAGCTGGGAAGCAGTAGTGGCAGGCACGCACACGGGTAGGGGGGTAGGGGGGGAAGAAGGGAAGTAGTAGGGA